ATGAATTAATACCCCGAGATGTTTTGAAAGTATTGTTGCACAAAACACTTTTAACTGTAATTAACAATGTTCAAAAAGGGCCATAATTCAGTCAGAACTATGGGCGTTGGATAACTAGTGACCTTTAGTTTATATGACCTCTAAAGCTTGCATTAAGTTTCACGAGAATACCTTCAGTAGTTTTGAAGATTGATGTTGCATGCAAAACATTAAAGGTTCAAAAAGGGCTATAATTCTGTCAAAATTCATACAAGAGTTATGGACCCTGGACAATGACCTGTCACCTCTCTATATATTATAATCCCAAAGCTTAAAGAGGATGAAGTAAAAAATTAACAACAAACTGGAAAGGTATAACTAAACATTTCTGTACTGAAATCTGGGACAGCAAGCTGAACTACAAGTGAAAGTACAAGGTAGGTGTGCTTTACAAATTCACTGTAACAGTACAGTATAGAGGTGATATGGAGCCGCAAACTCCTCACAGTGGTTACGTCACGCTTTGCTACTTTAAACACTGCCACCACTAAAATCACTTGACGATTGTTGTATCATGTGACAAAAATGGCGGCCAGTTTCAGAACGCCAAGGATCCCATATCCAACTGGCAGATTTATAATTACATCCTTACCAGATAAAATATGTTCAAAACACTCAATTTGTTTACACTTTAAAACAAGCTAGTGCTGGATCAAAATCTTTTGCACAATCGTTCAATAACTGTCTAACTTCAGTCATATATTGTTTACTATACATATGGTGTCACAGTGAAAATATTTTTCGTTATGTTTACAAATAATTTTTATTCGTATATTTTTTACATTTTTGTACATTAAGCATAACAATTTAATGAAAGAAAACTAAAACAAGGAACATCGCAATGCAATGCAACCAGGTTTTCAGCAAAATATTTCACAGAAGCTTTGTCATGCAGGGGCATTTGTTTTAAAGTTAACGCCCGCCTGCCCACCCGAAATCACAAAACCCCGATGATATGCACAAGGACTCTTGATGAGAAAGCTTCTGTGAAAGTTTGTCAAAATAGTTTGTAGGAAGAGGTGTGCAAATAAGAATTTGTTCACTTTATATTCTATATATGGAACAAAAACAATATATTTCTATATAAGGGAAAAAAATAAATGGCCATAATTAGGTCAAACCATTTATCAAATCTCATAACCCTGACAACATGCAGCAAGAGTTGATGTCAAAGCTTCTGTGAGAGTTTTGTCAAAATCCCTAGAGAATTGTAGGAGTTGCGCACAGAATTGCGCAGAGAAGAAAGTGTTCACTATATATATTCTGTATAAGGAAAAAAAAAACAAAGGGCCATAATTAGGTAAAAAATTATCTAATCACAAAACCCCGACAATATGTGTCAGGGCACTTGATGACAAAGCTTCTGTGAAAGTTTGGTCAAAATCCGTTGAGAAATGTAGGAGAAGTTGCGCACTGTAGAAATTGTTCACTATTATATTCTGTATAAGGAAAAAATACACAAAGGGCCATAATTCGGTAAAATATTATCCAATCACAAAACCCCGACAATATGTGGCCAGGCACTTGATAACAAAGCTTCTAAGAAAGTTTGGTCAAAAATCCGTTGAGAAATGTAGGAGGAGTTGCGCACAGAAGAAAATTGTTCACTATATATTCTCTATAATGAAAAAAAAACAAAGGGCCATAATTAGGTCCAATATATACCAATTGCAAAACCCTGACAATATGTGTCAGGGCACTTGATGACAAAGCTTCTGAGAAAGTTTGGTCAAAATCCGTTTGAGAAATGTAGGAGGAGTTGCGCACAGAAGAAATTGTTCACGATATATTTCTATATAAGGAAAAAAAACCAAAGGGCCATAATTAGGTCCAAATATTATCTAATCGCAAAACCCCGACAATATGCGCCAGGGCACTTGATGACAAAGCTTCTGTGAAAAGTTTGGTCAAAATCCGTTGAGAAATGTAGGAGGAGTTGCGCACAGAAGAAATTGTTCACTATATATTCTATATAAGGAAAAAAAACAAAAGGGCCATAATTAGGTCAAATATTATCTAATCGCAAAAACCCCCGACAATGATATGCGCCAGGGCACTTGATGACAAGCTTCTGTGAAAGTTTTGGTCAAAAATCCATTGAGAAATGTAGGAGGAGTTGCGACAGAAAGAAATTGTTTACACCCGCCCCCCCATCCGTCCGCCCGCCCACCCGCCCGCCCGCCCGCCGACATACCTCAATCTAATAACCAGTTTTTTCCTTCGGAAAAACCTGGGTTAATGATATAAAAGTATTCTATTTCGAATTAAAAGTTGACAATATATATTCCCCTCTCTGATGACCAAATTTACTTGTGGTGGCAGTGGTTACTGTACTGATCAGGGGAAGTAACCACTGCGGGGAGTTTGATGGAGCCGAGCGGATATAAAATTCCACTGGGTCAGCAATATTTACTTCCAATTAATTATTTTCTGAAATACTTTGGTTTTTCAACTTCCATATAATTTTGAAAAGTGCCGTACGGCTAGCCGATACAGTGTGTCCTGGCTAGCCATACGCGAGTCACTTTTCGCTAGACACTCCGGGTCAGCTTGGCCCTAAAACGTACTCGGCCCCACGAGTCAGGTTGGCCCTATTCCAACTCAGCCCACTTTTCAATTATTAATATTTAAGTTTGTGTTACCACTATTTATAATAATTATTTATAATACACCTATTGACAGTTTCCGAACTAGCAGCAGACAGGCTTTTCTTATCCGTAGAATTGCGAGTAAAGATAACCAATTGGCGTATCTCACTGTATTTCTTACTTGTAGGTTAAACCGTAAAATTTAAAATACCCTTCACAGTGTCAAAACAATGGTTGAAATATTTATTGTTACGGGCTAAAAATCAAATCGTGTGTATGTTAAGGATACTGATTTTAATTGGTGATAATTAATGATTGACTCATTCATTCATTTGATTAGTGACCACCTTTGCCAATTAAACCTCGATTACTGGCAATTGCTGGCATTTCTCGGACAGTTTCACACATTCTTGTTCGTTAATCAACAAGCCATTGTCCGTCCTCTACACGCTTATTTGTGAAATTCCCTTGAACAAGGGATCGTCTTCAGTCTGGCTAACAATTCCCGGCCCAATTTGTCAAATTATTTGCTTTGTAAAAAACTTTTCCTTCTTCTAAACTTTAGTTTTCCAATGATTAGCACCAACAGAATCCGGTGAATTACTTGTTAACTATTGTACAGATTAATGTACATAGCCATGTTTAAGACATACATTTGGCAATCGGTAAGTTCATTTTATCAAATTAACGCCTTAACGGCGTTAAAATTTCCTGTTATTTTTAACTTTGACAGATGGCACAATTTTTTTTTAAAAGGAGGACTGTTCACTTCCGTTCATTCGGAACTATTCGGGCTATTATACATCTCCGTAGACTGACGGAAAGGGCCGAAAAGTTGCGATTGATATCATGGAAAAATTAATATGGTGAACACCCACCAAATTTGTTTTGTTTCCCTTAGAGACAAAGGGCAAAACAAGCTATAGGGTCTTTCAAAAACCACGATCTTAAATATTGTAATTAAAGTCCTTGTTCAAATAACAAGAATTAAATTTCAATAGATTATATATTTTGATTTTATAACTTAAATTTGTCCAGGCATGGTTACCGAGATTAATTAAGTACAAATGTACAGTATACCTTTGTACTTTACAGTTATTTTTATAGGCATTTGCCCTTCAGTATGTACATGCAGTCCTAATTTATGTTGATATGCGAATTAATATAAATAATATGATTTTTTTTTTGGTACAATTCAACCAGAATGTTTACATTTTTGACTAGCTATATCACGGATTTATATTATATAAATCCGTGGCTATATGCATGGTTGCAGAGATAAAGAAGGGGACAGTTATTTTGATAGGCATGCATTTGCCCTGTAACTTGTAGGCCCACTTTACACCAATTGATATGCAAATGGATTAAGAATGTGATGTTTAGTACAGTTTAACCCGAATTTTCATATTTTTGAAAAAAAAAATGAATTATGCCGTGAGATAAATGCTAATTGGGCGTTCCTGAAGGACACAGCCTGTGAATTATAAATAGAGAAAATGAGAAAAGGGCAAAAGGACGCAGCGAAATAGCAACTAACATGGAATCAATTAGTACTAGTGTAAGACAAAAAAAATGAAGTTTAACTATAGTAGATCTACTGTTATATTTTTCGAACGGTTTTCTATGAAATACATGTAGTTGAAATACAAGTAATATATACTAGTATTAATAATTTATTGCATTTCCACTGGTGTTTATATGAAACAAAATTCAAAGAGTTACACAGAGCCACATACACTAACCTACATGACAGAGCATTGAAACAGTTGCCAAAATACAGACCTGCCACATCTTTACCATAAATTGTGATGGATAATTTTAACCTGACCTATTTTATTATTTTATACATTTATATTTACATATATGATTTGCTTATGTATTTTGTAAATCATACAAACTGAAAGATATTGAAAATAAATTGAAAACAAAAAACAAACCCTGAACTACTAATATACATGTTATGTACTATTCAACTCCAATGTTTCGTTAATAATATGAAATTTATATCACTCATCGTATATATTCATTTGATATGTAATAATTAATAGTTATAATAATGCTTTTTACAGGTTATATAGTCCAATATAAATGGTTTAAAGCCGAACCGCTGGACTAGTGTTTTATTGCAAACAACCGCAAATTTATATCAACCTTGTATTAATTAACATGCTTCATCCATTATAATTCCTTTCACGAAATTAACGACATAGATAATAGACCAGTATACAGCTTTTAAAGATGTTTCAAAAGTTTTACTTCCAGCCGCTTTTGGACCTGTTATATGGTATAGAAGATGAAATATAGACAGTCATATTTGCGTGTCAGACTTTTGACCTACACGATACACCATACTTGCAAAAACTGTAACGAACTACTTACCTCCCTTTAATACCGAAAACGAAAGTAGGACTTTTAGATAATTTTTCCCAAATACATCTAGTAATTGTATGGACAGCAAGGAAGAAATTGTCTATTTTTGAGGTAATTTTTTTTTAATTTCTATCGTAATATGGTAATACCATATACATAAACTAAAGAAATCTATTGATGAAGCTGTAGGCCTACATGTCATACCAGCATACATGTCACTGTTTTCAAAACCGAAAGTAGGCCGGACATTTTATGTAAACTCATTCATCTCAACTATATGTGATACATATTTTATGATTTAACAAAATTATGAATGTCAAATTAATCAATTCGCTGATAAGTCCCATTTAATAGACAGGTCGAATTTGAAGTTAAGATGAAGGCCTACATCAAACAATATTATATGCTGATTGACACATAAAAATAAGCAAACCGGTCAAACATTCTTGCCAAATTTGTTAGGCTATAGATTGATACGGGTATACTCAAATTTTTGATCGAAAGTACGTAAGAAATAAATACTACTACTTTCGATTGATATAAATTTTTATGGTTTATTTTAAGTATGTATACATGTATGTATTCACTTTGTATAAATAATCAATGATTTGTTCATTTTAATCTAAATAATTATCATCTTTCCTTGCGATTCTTTTATGCTGTTTATTGAATGCGGATCAGACTGGATCCGCACAGTCTGATCAGGATCCATGCTGTTCTCTACTTGTTATAGGGTTTGTAAGCGAACAGCATAGACTGCGCGAATGCGCAGGCTGGTCTGGATCCATGCTGGTCGCAAACCCATTATGTTGGTTTTGTCATGACGCGGCTCAAATTTTGGTCTTTATATTTTAAATAGTTAGGAAAGACAAAACAACGTTCATTTATAATTGAGTTAAAATAATAGTTGAGTCAATATTTACCTTATTATCAAAAACAAAGCAATACTATAAGGAAAATTTATATAATCTCATGAAAAAGATTTACCAATGTTTAAACAATTCTTAAGAAGATCTCATTTAAAGATTATTTTATTTTTTTATCTTCCTGTAAGATTTGTAATTATTTTTTTTAAATATATCTTATAGTTTGAAACCATCCGAGGCCTTTAAGCAGTTTTTATCTGAGATTTTCTGTGAGCTTATTACCGAAAATAACGCACATCAAAGGAATTGGCATCGTAGGATACCCATGGTTGATTAGCATGTTTATGGTTCGGCCATTGCGTAGCGGACGCTTTTGAAGAAGTGAATAAAATAATATAATGTACAAATACAATGTCTCTTTTTTGATCAAATTAATATATTTTAAAAGTGATATATTTAAAAAAGCAAATCTTACACGGTTTTAGTGAGTGGTATATTGACCTGAGCTTAAAGGATTTATGTAAAGAAAGTACATCAAAACCCTTGTCATGGCTTATTTGTTTATCTCATTTTTTTCGTTATGTCGACTCTCTTTCTTTCCCGGCGAATTCGAGATAACGAGAGCCGACTGTGTATTATATTTTCTAAAACGGGAACTATATCCTTTAGTGCAAGAGTTATTAAAATGTGTGTCGATTTTCGAACCATTCGCTGTCCTCGCACTTATAGTTTTTCAAGGAGACTGGTTTTCTAGTAGATATAGTGTATGCTTCTCACTCCAGGGACCATTGGTTCTAGCCTGCTTTCCCTATGATAAAATGTAGTATTTCGTTATTACCTTACGCAGAATGCGCATGCCCGAAATGTAACATCCGTTACAATGGAAAAATCGTATTGTTAAAATGTCTATACAAGTAATCTCTACTCTAACATATCACCGGAGTACATTTCTCATACAATCACGTCTTCCTTTTAGGAGTATTTCCATGGTATTAAAGGCACATTATGCCTAAGAAACAAATAAAATTTTCTTTCTATAGAAAGGGCAATCACGAGTTTTACAGCAATAAAAATTGTGTGTTTGAGCATGTTACACGCTAATCACCTCACAAAAATAAAGCGGAATATGAAATAACATATTATAAAGGTAGCAAAATGTAAATAGAATAGTATTTTGACTTCCATACGAAATGATTATAATCACTGTAAGTTAAATGATTGCCAAAGTAACAGGAACAAAAGATGATTCAGATAATTGGCTAAAGATTTTTTTTTTAAACTATGATGGGACAACAAAAATATAAAAGCTTTCGAGAAATAAAATAAAAGCTTTTTTAGGCATAAAAGGTCTTTATTTCCATTATAAATCGTCATAGTGCTTTGACTTTATCCTTTGCCTATTTTAGCTATGTATACCAGTACAGTATCATAACCAATCGTCGGCGGTAATATAAACTGCTGTTATTAAATACAATCCCTGCTTTAATATTTATGACTTCTTTTAGTGACATTTATTTTAAGAGGGTTTACTCTCTATATATAAATTATCTTCACAAGAAAGTATACAAGTTTTATTTAAAACATATTAATTTTGTTACAGATCATATGCTACAATAATACAACATGAAACCCGGTATTCGAGTTATCCGAGGACCCGACTGGCGTCTTGGCAACCAAGATGGCGGTCCCGGTTACCTAGGAACGGTTGTTAATATTCACCCTAACAACACAGTGCTCGTGAGATGGGATATAGGAACGGAGACTATTTGTCGAGCAGGGAAGGACGGTTCTTTCGATCTCAGACTTTACGACAATGCTCAAATTGGTGAGTAGAAAATAAAATTATTTTACCAGATTTCTTAAAACAAAGTATGTTGACATTTCCAGCGAAACAAAATCCAGAATGTTGAAGAAAATGGTGAGGTATTCAAATTTATCTGTGTTAAACAGCTTAGTCTTGTAAAACGTTTTCTACTACTCCTTTGAACAATTGAACAATATCTTATTAAATTGTCATTATAAATACTTTATTTTTTTAAAACGGCATGTTGAATGGTATAAAAATATCTCAATTGTTATGTTCAATTATGACCTTTTGTATCATAAACAGTTTCTAAAGCAAAATTTTCTGTTCGGAATTGAGGAAAAAATCACTCGCTTCCCAATTTGTAGGATCCTTCATTTGTACTTTACTAGTACATTGTTTCTTTAATAAATGTAATTATATGTAACTATTAATTGTGTTTTATGATTTTCGGACCGTCGGTGATCCATGAATAATATGTTTGTTTAATCTTTAATCAATTTATTCATAATATCTCACAATTAGGATTGCCCGATAAAGTTAATGTTTTAATTAATATGTTCATTCGTAGTAACTTATTTAACAATTTGCATGCATGCTTTCTCGCTGTCGGGAATTTAACAATTTGCATGCATGCTTTCTCGCTGTCGCTGACCTCTGAGTCTTACCAGAAGAAAATAAAAAGTTCATTCTATTTTCATTTGTTTAATATATACAAAATATATACCCCTGACTATACACACACGTATCTAATCCAGAATATTGCCCACTTGATTCCTTTAGTTATATTTTCTTTCAGAACTAAAACTTTAAATTCATGTCCGAAAGGTATTAATACTAATATTTGAAGTCAATATATAAAAAATAATGAAAAGTGTATAGTACAATCAAATGAAGTTAGATAAATAATGATAACAATAAACAATAACAACATCAACAACAAAAACAACAACAACATGTACAGTAGCTTGTGTATTATAATAGTAACCAGAAAATTTTTCTATAGGGACTCTGCACCCTAGATTTTATTGTAATGGTGAATATTCAAGAAACAACGCCGAGAATCCGCACATACGGGGCTTTCGATGGAAATGTTTAGTGTGCAACGACTTTGACTTTTGTAACGATTGCTATATGTCAAATAAAGAAAAGATTCTACATCAACATGCGAACACCAACCATCCGTTTGTGAGATTTGTAACACCAAAAGCTTTGGCGTAAGTCCATGCTGTAATTGATGATAATTGTGGTTATTTTGATGCTGATGATGACGTTTTCAACAAAAGATGACGTTGATGATGACGACGATGTTACTGATGATGACCCCTGCATAATGATGACGAGCATATTGTTATTGCAATGATAAAGGTTCGATAACGATGATGGTTTCTTTGACAATATAATTAATAAACGTATTATAATGGCGAATTCTTCTGTCAAGTAGATGGCCGTCTTGTATTAATTGAATTGCTCATTTGGACCCCGTTTCGATCCCAAGGCATCGGCAGAAGATTTGAAGACTTTGGATGGCGAAAAAAGACCAGAGCTTGAACTGCGGACCAGCTGCCGGTGTCCTGACTAATGCCGAGGGGGGTTGCCCTACGATGTATGCAAAAAGACGACGAGGGTAGTAACAGACGGCTTGAAAGGCAGGCCCTTTGCTTGCACCAGCAGCCCTTTTAAGGGCTACCTCTTTTTCTTACTGTACATTTAGGTTCTCATTTCCCGCCCTACAGTGCCCTACTTTCGACTCAAAGTAATATCTTTGTCTTATACTCCGTAGACATTTCATGGAGGTAAATTATCATGCGCTTTGAAATTTACTCTTTAAAGGGGATTACTGGGGACAAAGTCCAAAAAAAACTACTTGTTTTGCCCTTTCAAAAGGATTGAGCCCCATTTAAAAAATTTTGTAATAAAAGGAAACGTAAAAACCCCAATATACCTTTGAAATGTTCTGTTCTATTAAAAAATTTTTAACATTCGGGTGTTATTCGTTTTTTCTTATCAAAAAGGAAAGAAGAAGTTGCGATTTTTTTCTGTTAATGTGAAATTTTTTTTTGGTCCCACTTTTAAAATTTAGCTTTTTTCCCGGTTTGTGGTCCGAAATCAAATAAAAACATGGGTTTAAACTAATTTTATTTAAATATTTTTAAAAAAAGAAAGCAATTTTGAAGTTTCAGGTTTTAACCTGGTTTTAACGAAGGGGCCCCCCAAGGAATATGG